CAGCTCAGCATGCTCCGGGCTTCTTGGCCCTCTCTGATTCATCTGGAAGGTCAGTGGTTGCTGTAATGGGTTGAAATAAATGTGCCTCTTGTTATTTTTCTGTTGGGCAAAGCTGGCAGGGACCTCTAGCTCCTTGAGTGTTGCTTCCTGGCTCAAGTGCAGGTCCTTCAGCCTGCTAGTGTTGTACACAGCTGATATGGTTCCACCCTAACAGTATCTTGTAACAGGCCCCATCTGAGGCAAGTTCTGCTTATGGCTAAAAACTGTGAACCTCCTAGCCATAAATACCTTGCAGCTGTGTTATTGCTCTAAACGACTGTGTTAACTCTGTTTTGGGGCTGATTAGCGCCTCGCTGTGTGGAGTGCAGCTGGCTAGCCGCTGGACCCGCTGATAAAGGCTCACTAAATTCTAATTTGTTCTGGTCTTGGTCTGTATTCGATTGGAACCCAGAGCAGTTGCGCTGTGACCCCACATCATGAATGTGCAGTTCTGTGGGTGCTGGCTTTGGGTGGTCTACTTTAATCCTTGAAATTAGTTCAGGTATAGGGCTGGCGAGCGCAGGGATTGGGGTTTGATCCCCAGTATCACATGCCATGCAGGCCCTGCCTCCAAGTATGCTAAACTGGCCACTGAGAAACAGTGTGTAATCCCAGCACTGGAGAGGCTGAAGATAGGAGGATCACTACGAGTCTGGTCTGTGTAGTGAGACTCTGTACAAAGAAGAGAGAGAGAGAATTCAGCTTTTTGTTTTGTGCAGTATCTAAAGGCTCTGGCACAGCTAGGAGAGAAAATGTGCCAGACAGCGCCCCCTGGCTGTGTGTCATAAACTACCCAGTAACTAGCAGCGTGGGGTGGTTCTGTGGCTGGAGGCAGTAGCCTGAACCCCCTTCTGCTTTCTTACTTTCCAAGCCATTTGCATTTTCCCTGCAGACACAAGTCCTCAGCTGCCTAGAGTGGGGGGAGTCGAGGAATGCCTTTCTGCAAGCTGAGAACATTGAAAGCATCGTATGTCAAGCCAATTTAAGATGTGCCTGTTTTGCTACATGGCCTGTACTTTGTCACCAGTTGAGTCCTACTGGTTCAGTTTCTGAAGTGCTGGAATTATGGATCTGTGGCACCATGCCTGGCAGAACTAGGGTCTTGATAACTTGCCCTTGTGCATCCAAGGACACGCACCAGCCTCAGGTACGCGAGCAAGTCGCTTCCACTCACTCTGTGGGAAATGGTGGACTCTGAACACAAGTGGACACCCTTTGCCCTTGCTGTCTGTGTGCCTGCTGCTCCTCTTTAACAGGCGCTGTCTGAACAACAACCCACCAGGAGGCCGGCATCGTGCCGAGATTAAGAGCTTGGGCTCTGGTATCAGAGTGCCCGGGTTGGCTCTTCCCAAAGGCTGGTTTTGGGTATAGCTGTCACCTGTGTCCCTTAACATAGTCAGCTGCAAGATCAGGATCATAACGCCAGCTCAACTGTTGCTGTTGTTATTGCAGCGTAGTCCTCTTCAGTTGGTAACAAATGGATTAAATTATATTTAGGGGTGGGCATGACAGCACAGACCTGTAATCCCAGCACTTGGGAGCCTGAGGCAGGAGGATTGCCAGCCCAGGCTACATAGGGGGACCCTAGCTCAAAAAAAAAAAAATCATACTTAGCACTTGGAACCCAAAAGCTGCAACCATTTCAATCACCTTTTGGTTGAGTTATGACTGAAAGACTTAATATTGTGAGTTTGTGTTACATATCTGGCTCTATGTTCTAGGACTAGTTACATGTTAACTTCTTCATTATATCTTTATTAAAGAAAAGCCAGAACTTGCCTCTCTGTGCAAGTGAAAGTCTCAGGCACAAGAGAGGCTCTTGGAGCTGGGGGTGGGAGTGCATATCTGGGAGGTGGAGGCAGGAGGATTACCAGTTTCCACTCAGCCCCGGCAGTGTTGTGATTTAGCAAGACTCTGCCTCAAAATAAAATATTTTCTAAAGAGCTGGGGGTGTAGCTCAATGTGAAGGCCTTGCACCCAATCCATAGTACTGTAAAAATTACAAAATAGAAGAAAATAGGAAAGAGTTCTCGGAGCTGGGCATACTGGTGTACGCCTGCAATCCCAGTTCCTACGGAAGCTGAGGCAGGAGGATGGTGAGTTTCAAGACCAGCCTGGTAAATTTAGTGAGATTTTGTCTCAAAATAAAAAAATAAAGAAATGGGAATGTAGTTCAGTGGTAGAAAGCTCCTGGGTTCAGGGGCCGGGGAGATGGCTCAGTAGAATAAACACTTCCCTGGCAAGCACAAGGGCCTGAGTTCAATCCCTGGTTCCGGAAAAAAAAAAAAAAAGCTCCTGGGTTCAATCCCCAGTACCAAAAGAAAAATGAAAGGACAGTAGGAGGGAAGGCAAGCAGACTGTCGGGCCACTTATCTGTCATCTAGGAAGGTACCAGTGGCTGACTGTGTCCGCAGGACTGACCTATGTTGATCAGGTCTCTCTTTTCCTTTTGCTAAGATGATGGATGGATCGTGGTGGGTCTGTACTTCTTAGCAGGCTAAGTGCAATTAGGTGAAGAACTCTTGGCAGTAAGAGCTAAGACATCACCTCAGTTACCCTTTCCTTGTTGCTGGGACAAAAATACCTGACATCCAAACTCAAGGAAGGAAAGATTTATTTAGCTCACAGTTAGTGGAGGTTTCAACTCATACTTGGCTGGTTGCAAAACAGAGTGGCACATGGCAGAGGGCAGCCGTTCATGGCAGCAGACAGCAGCAAAGGGTGGAGCAACCCACCCCAGGGTGGATGCAGCACTCACACCCCCAATCCCAGCATTGGGTCATGAATTAATCTCAAACTTTTTTTTTTTTTTAAATGTATTTAGTACAGGGTCTGTAGGGTCTCACTTCACAGATTGGATTTGTAGTGATCCTCCTGCTTTCAGCCTCCCAAGAGCTGGGATTATAGGCATGCACCACCACATCCAGTCTCAATCACTGGCTCGGTGGGCCTTGGGGACGGGGCCAGCATGGCACCCTGGGGATCACTGGGTCCCTACATCAGCCGAAGCAGGTGTTTCATCCGCTGAGCTGTCTGGCTGGCGCAGTCACATACTCTTGAAGTTGCCCCAGGACTGCATGAAGTTTTAGAGGAACAATGAGACAAAAACCATAACAGACATCAGTGTAAAAAACCAAATTATTATTGAGTATCACCTTTGGTAGATGAATTGAGGCAGGGGCAGCTGTTGAACTTTGTGGGCAGACGTTTATGTCTTAAAGTTCTGATTTTTTTTTTTTTTTAAGAAGAACCAGTTAACTGAGGGCTGTAAGATAGAGACTTCATCTTTGGATAAAAATCTCCTTAAGATTACATGTGAGTATTAGGATCACCAAGCCACAACCTGGATACACTAAGCGCTCAATACATGGTAGCCGCTATTAGAAACACTTTCAAGAATAAACAGATCTGGACCGAGAAGGTCTGCTGCAGAGGGGGTTATCTGGGGCTATTTGCCAATTTCTTTTTTTTCATGTGTTAATGTTGTTTATTTTTTTCTTTTCTTTTTTTCCCATAATTTTATTGATAAACAAATAGCAATGGGACAGTTTCAAATCAAATTGGTAGGACAGTTTCAATAGTTCACACATTGCATACATTTCTTCCTAGTGGTTAATTGCTGTACAAGATGTGGACTTGAGATCCTATTTACAAACACCATTAGAACAAATCGCTCTATTCATTAAGAGAATGTAACTATGTATCTATCCTAACCACTTTGAATACACAGATACAAAATGGACATTCATCTGTATCCCCTTTTTTTGTTAAGTTCTGTTATTTGAAGATTATAGGTGTGTAAACTCAGCACAATATTCTAAAAGAGTCCAGTAGCCCATAATAGCATTGGGTCTTCTGTTTAACTGGCAATGTCAGAAATTATTGACCTGAGTCCCCCACAGCTCAACATAACAACATGGCTTTACTTCCTATATTTCGTCTTCATACTTTTCTACTGGATGGTTGAGACCAAGGTAAAGCAGGACCTATGCAACAAGAGTTGTAGCTTTTGGGTCTGATAAGGTCAGTGAAATGCCCTCAGGATTTATCCTGAGATCCTGTACCTCAGATTGTAGAACCTTTGTCAGTGCAGCCATGTGGATGAGTCACGGCCATTGCTTGTATTTGCCAATTTCTTGATAGGACACAAAACCAAGGTTGTGTGCAGACATTGTCCGGCCCTGCTTGGAAAGGTTAAGTCCACTTCTGACGTTTTTTGCATCTGCATCATTCTCTTTGCCCGTACATCTCTTTTTGCAATCACAGTCCATCCTTTCTGATTCCATCCTTTTCCCTGTTGTTTAGCCTCTCGAACCTGTGGACCCCGGCACAGTTCTGACCTGGCCTCGCCCGAGTCGCTTTTCATTCAACAGCGCCCCCTGCAGGACTGATTGTGAAACAGCGCGTGTGGGGAGCTGAGGGCGGCTCCTCTGTGTTGCGGCTTTAGACAAGTTTATTCCAGGGACTGTCTCAGACTTCATCTTTACAACGAGGACTCTCTTTTAGGCCGAGGTTAGGGAAGTAGGAGACAATGCAAGAGAGCTGAGACAGCCGACAAGCACTCCCTTCTCTGTGGGACTAACACAGTCTCTGAGATCAGTGTTGATCCGTTCTGGGGGTGAAGTCCCCTCTGACCTGTCCACCTTTCACTAGGTCCCACTGCCTAGAAGGTTTAGCACCCTACCACAGGGGCCAGAGATTCCAGTACATGAGCCTTTGAGGGACGCATTTAAGCCACTCCAGGCCACAGCGGTCATCTGTAAGGCCCTGTCGCCTTGGAGTATCTGTGAGCACTTGCTAGGGCGGCACCAGGGTGTCCAGGAGTGCCCTGAGGGAGCCACTCGGGATTAGAGGTATTGAGTTGTTCCTTGTGCCTGGGCTAGTGGGCTAGGCCAGGCGGACCCAACCTTCCAAATTTTTTTTTTCTTTTTAAAAGATGATCTTTGCACTCCTTTCTCTGGACCTATTTATTACCCTTTTTTCCCAGCTGAGGCCCAAGTCTAAAGCTCAGAAGATCCCTGGTAGAACTTGATTTCTGCATACTCTTCTTGGGTACCCTTGGGCGGCTGGGTGTCCCATGGTCTGCGGCCTGGGAAGTTGACAATAGCATAGTGGAGCCCGTCAGGGCTGATCTCAGAGTCTGGGGGGCCCGCGTATGGCTTGGGCTCTGGGGAGCCAAGGGAAACCACAGGTTGTTCTGCTCGGTTCTTCTCCGGGAGTGGGGAGTGAGTTTCCCGAGAGAGGGTCTGAGAAGGGTTGCTTGGCTTGGCCTTCCGATTCCGAGCCTGAGAGAATAACAAACATTCACTCAACAAACATCCGAGCCCCTGCCACCTGCGTGCCCGAGGAAGTGGGTCATAGCTCGATTAGGACATGTTCTGTGCCTGTGCCGAGCTTGACTTCTTTCCATCTTGGGGGCAGGAATGAGCAATCAAATAATAAAAAATAGGTGATAAACGGCAGGAGGAAAATAAAGCAGGGTGGGAAGACAGTGGAAGGGAGGTGAGATGACTATTTAAACAGGGCACTCAGGAGGTGGCTTCGCCCTCCCATGTTCACTGTGACACTGAATGATAGCCGTAGCATGGAGTCGCCAAAGGGTCCCTTGACCGCTGAGTGGCTAAAGAAGCTGTGTATGCATATATAGTGGGCCAGTATCCCCCCACAAAAAGGGGAGAGTGCTGTCACTTGTGACAATATGTGTGGGAGTAGAGGACATGTCAAGCGAATAGCCAGGCGCAGAAAGAGAAGCGCACGTGATCTCACCCATGGGAGGAATGTAACCACGCTATTTTCATGGAAGGAGAGAATCCAGTGGTGGTTAGCAGAGCCTAGGGACAGGAGACAGCCCGTGGCTCCGTGAGACCAGAGGAGTAAGCTCTGATGTTTGGCCATATGGCAGGGCGACAGTTAAGGTTTGTGTCTAGATGTCCCCTCAAAACCTCATGCAGTCTTAGGCTTTTTTTTTTTTCTCTCTACTGGGGGTCCAACTCAGGACCTTGAGCTTGCCAGGCAGGCACTCACACCACTGAGCTGTGTCACCAGTCCTGTCTGAGGCTGTTCAGAGGTGACTGGATCTACAGGGTGTGATGCTGGGATTAAGGGTGTGTGATTGCTGAGTTAGTACACTGGATGGTTTGGCACCACCCTAATCCCAGCAGGCCAGATACAATGTCTTAAGGGGCAGAAGGTCTTGCCTGCCCTGCTTGTCACTGTGCTACTTTCTGCCCACCATGACTGTTCTCTGGGCTGGGTGTCTGCCATTGCCCTGCCTCGCGGCCAGCCGATTATGGACTGAAACGCTCCGAACTGTGAGCAAAAGATACCTTGCCTTCCTTAACTTGGGGTATTGGGTATTTAGTCTCAGCAATGAGAGAAAAGTAGCTAAGGCAGTGACCATAGTCTACAGTCATGCAATCTAGGGGCTGGCTCAGTGGACTAAAGCACCTGCTTGGGCGGGGTGCAGTGGCCAAGGTTTGATCCCTGGCTTACTGTGCTGGCCCCACCCTGGGGGTGCGCTGAGAGGGCAGTTGAGACTGGGCAGGGTGATGCGTGCTTGTAACCCCAGACCTTGGGAGGCTGAAAACAGGAGAATTACTATGAGTCCAATCTACATAGTGAGACCCTGTAGACTCTGTCCTAAAAGTACAGAACAAAAGGTTTACAATCATGTGATCTATATTTTAAAATAGGTAGGCTGGGCATGGTGGCACATGCCTATAATCCCAGCGCTCGGTGGGCCAGGATTGCCTCCAGTTCCAGGCCAGCCTTGGCTATAAAGTGAGTTCAAGGCCAGCCTGAACCTGAGATCCTGTGTTTAAAAAAAAAAGAAGAGATTTCAAATGGTCTCACCACAAAGAAATGATGAGCGTGTGAGGTGACAGATATGTAAATGAGCTTGATTGGATCCCCACATGCTGTGTGCACACTTTGAAGGAGCACACTGTCCCCAAAAATGACTATAATTATAAAGCATCAGAACTGGAAAGTAAACAGGCCACGTAGGGAGGTGCTCTTGGTGCTGTGGTGTGGATGTGTCCGTGCTGAGGTGGCACGGGGTGGAGGGGAAGTGCACACGGTGTAGCGGTGGACTGTGAGCAGTTCAGTGTGAGATGCCAACTGAGTGGGCAGGTGCTTGAATCTGGTGTGCAGGGGGCAAGCTGGGGACATACATTTGGGAGTCATGCTAAGGACAGATGTGCTCTTCCAACATACCCAGTGTTTAACTGAACACTTAGTAGCTGGTCTTCTGAGTTTTAATGTTTTGGGAACTGGGGATTCCAACCTGGGTCCTCACACTGAGCAACATCTTTTTTTTTTTTTTTTATGTATTTAGTATAGGGTCGATAGGGTCTCACTATACAGATAGGACTGGTAATGATCCTGCTGTTTTCAGCCTCCCAAGCGCTGGGGTTACAGGTGCGCACCACCATACCCAGTCTCAGTGGGCGTCTTAGCGTGCCCTGGGGGTGGGACTGGCACAGCGGCACAGCATACTGGGGCTCGAACCCGAATCCTGTGTTTGCCTAAGCAGGTGCTTTAATCTGCTGCGCTATGTGGCTGGCCTGTGATACCTCTTTTTCATGTTTTGCTTTGAGGTAGGGTCTTGCTAAATTCCTGCAGTGCCCAGACTGGGCTTGACCTTGAGATCTTCCTGCCTCACCTTCCCAGCAGGCTGGGGTTGCAGGTGTGCAGCACCATGTCTGGCTTCTTTTGTTTTGGCCGAACCGGGGATTGAACTCAGGCCCTTGCGCTTGCTTGCCAGGGAAGCGCATTCCACTGCGCCATCTCCCCGGCCCCTACCTGGCTTCTTCTTCTTTTTTTTTTTTTTAATTTTATTTATTTATGTGTGTGTGTGTGTGTGTGTGTGTGTGTGGCCCACTCAGCCCACCAGGGGGCGGGGCTGGCTGGCATGTGGTGCTGGGGGATTGAACCGCGGTCCCTGTGCTTTGCTGAG